GAGCTGAGCAAAGATATAATTATCTTGGATTCCATCCAAGAACTTGGAGAGGCACCAGAATGAATCGGCTTCAATAATATCACGCTGTTCTTTTGGTAATGAGGACACTTTCCAGTTATCCAAATCTCCATCTGAGAAACAAAGAATGATGTTTCAATAAAACCATTTTATAACAATTTTAAACATAGAATATTTACACAGTTCTGAACACAGGTGAATACTACCCAATCATAAGGTTACTGTAACCTGAAAGAAATGTTGGTTCCTTCTTCAATGCCAGGCTCTTGTGACAGAAGTACAGCTGATTTAAATCTTGAAGTGCAACTCAATGTACAGTTTAATAAATTATTCCATACCTCCAACAAAAATAGTTTGAATTAAATTTGACAGCCAGTATACAAGGCATAAAATATATGCAAATGTTTTCAGCTTACCTCATTTGCAGTCATTCCATGGGCAAAGACACTCTAATTTTTGGACTTGGTTCAACTCTATCTAATAGTTTAACATTTTACTAAGGTCCTCAAATCACAAATCCTCATATTTTTTTTGCAAAAATGTACATTATTTCTCCTTTTACTATGCTTTGAGTATGCAGCAACTTCATTTGTGGTCCGGCTGGTTTGTTGGGTTTTCTAAAACTCTTCCTGTTAAGACATTTCAGTTTTGCTTCCTGTTTTCTCTATATTTTTTCAGAGGATTACAAACTGTTGTATTTATAAGCTGGTGAAATAACTTCACTCATTCATATGTTTCCCTTCTAACAAGTATGACTGTAGCAAGTGATCTGCCCTAAAACTGTGCAACATATGGGTGGGAATATTTTTCCATCTCTTCATCGCAGTTCTGATTTTGTCATTATAATAAGAAAACATAATTGGGTCGTCATCATACAATTTAATAAAAAATTAGTTCTGTGCTGTAACATTGCCTTTCATTACGTTATCGTTCACTGTGAGACATTTCTGTGATTTAATGTTGGCACGTTTCAAGACACATTTTTATAGTCTGCTAGAGGCATATATTTTCAGACACTGTCGTCCCAGACATGGCATTTTCCCCAGCTGTACGACATACGATACATGGAATTAAAAGGGTAATAATAATACCTGATCTTCGTGCAGATTGCACAGAAAAGTGGAAAAGCAAAGTTTGTATATAGGTACATAAGTCAAATTTTCAATTTATTGTCTGACAGAATTCAACACCAGCACACACACCTGCTGGTATAACTTCTTGAAGAAAAACTACATAGAACGGAGTAACCAGATCATTAATGCCTTGGACATATCCAGATGCAGGATGTCGAATTGCCCAGATAAATAAGATTCTCTCAAACATTTCTTGCACAGTCTTCTGTTGGAAGAGCGCTATTAGAGGATTCATTCGTGGAATGTCTATGTGAATCTGAAAAAAAAATCGTACAACAGGCCACACAATCTTCATCACCAGAACAAAATAAAGTCTGTATGACTTCATAGTTCTGATTTTCACATACCACAGCATATACAGAAATTACAGTATTTTACAATGAAAAATATATTTAATGAAAATCTTCTTATATGCCTTGTAGATTTACAGTGAACTGGCTTTCAGGTCATCACAAACCTGCCTATATGTGTCTTGGTAGGTCTCATCCCGCTCTGTATCATAATACTGCTTCACAAGGTTCCAGTAATCCACCCTCTTCCTTTCCAAAACCTGCTGCCTTCGTTCAAAGTTGGCTGGGAGATGGCCCTGTATAAGAACGATAAAGTTATTACAGCTTCTGTCAAGTAACAAAGAGACGTGGAAATAACAAAGACTTGGTGCATATGGTTTGGCACTAATTCATCCTATGATTCTGTACCTTCATAGGAAAGATCAATATTATACTGGTAATTAAATTAAAATGAATTATGATGTAATTCACCGAGAGAAGGCGCCAAGTGATAGCTCGGACTTTCACGGGAATCCCCGACCAACTCAGTTGTCGTAGTTCTTCAAGATTCAACAGTGGAGTTTCCAGCAGAGGCTGAAATCTTTCAAGTTTGCTTGTTTCACAGTCGCCTCCTGAAGCATATAAATAAAATTCAAAATAAGAAGATAAGACAATAATACAGTCTGATTCATAAAACATGAATTTGAATACGTAAATAATTCTTCATCACAACCCTGATAAATTATCTAAGTTTGTTACTAACCTTCACGGGATGGAATATGAAACTTAGATCTTCCTGTACTCCCTCGGAGAGGTTGTGGATGCCCCGGAAATTGCCTATGTAAAGGAGGTGAACTGGGCACTTGAGGTGTGGATGTGCGGTGTGCTGGAGAGGCCACGTGCGGGTCTATAAAAAAGTGGTTACTGTTAAACCATATCCTGCATGTCACTTTATTGATATGTACACGACACACGTAAGCATTTTGGGGTGGTTTCAACAAGCTTCAAAGTCAACCATGATCATCAAGTGACTCATGACATATGCAAATTTAACTTTAAAAGGAAAATTTGTGTGACGTTTTAGTGCAACATTCTTGCAATGCCTGGTTGGCTGGAGCTAACTAACAATGTATTTTATTTGATTAGATGTGCTGTTTCCCAGTGTATCGAATACCAATGACAAACAAAAGTAAGATTTTTTTGTTTTTTAAAATGCTAACTAGGCTGACAATGGATAACATGAACACTCCATCCTTGCCGAAGTTAATACCTGTATGTGACGCTAAGCATTGCAGTGCCGCTTCTATCTTTTTTCCCTCGGATATTGTAAAGTCACATGGCTGTGAGTTGGGCACAGACTCTTTAGTAACTGGGCATCGATGACTGTTTATTACACTCAACGCAGCTGACTGGGCTACTTTCTTGGAGATTTTCACATCTAGAAAATACGTTATTTAACAAAATGTGAATAAAACAACTACTATACATAAATAGTTCTAAATTTACTGAGTAGAAAGAACAAACTGTTGAATCTTGTACCTGAAACGATGCAGAACTCATCGTCCCCTATGTCCCAAGCATCGCTAACACTTTCTTGAAAATCTTGAAAAGAGGTTGAACAAGAGTTCCGCTGTCGATTCACCCTAGGATCTTTCTTTGGACTTGGCCTGTGGTATATCAAACACCTTATTTGTATTACTTTAACATAAATAAGACTTGGCTATAACAATTGCCTAAGTTTAGAAACCTTTGGTATAATCAGTGGTAAATGTTGCCGTCGACATATATGTATTTACACGATGTAAATTCATTTTCAAAGACACCTTGTTGTCATCACTGAAGACAAGGGTAAAAATTTATGTAGGGTTAACTTCCAGTAATGACTTCCACTCCAAGTTTCTTGAAAACTGATAAATGAAGTCAAAATTTATCAGGGTTCACGCACTATTATCATGCATAAATCAGTCTAAAACAAACATTAAAATTGAATCTCACCTTCCTGGGACTGCCTTTGTACTTTTCTTCCAAAATGAAGCTTTAGCTTCTTGTTCAGAAAAGTTCTCTCCTATTCCATCCATATTTCAAGGAGACAAACCTAATTCATCTTTCACTTTAAATTATAGTTTGTAGCATTTAACTGAAGTATTCTAAGGCAAAAAGCCATCAACTCAATTTTTGTAGTATGAGAAATGTCATATATATCACTTAATCTGAAATAAAGGAAGTCAAACCAGCGAATTAAGACAAAGCTCAATGTAACGTACCATTTCCTGTTATTTTTGCAACACTTGTACTGCTTAGAAGTCTCTTCTGCTACATAAATCGTGTGCAGGAACTCCACAGTTGAAGATGCTGTCTTTTAGGTTGTTATGCCACGCAGTCCAGTAGAAGTTTACTGATGTTTCAGAGGTACTTGCTGCCTCTGTCATCAGAGTAGCAAGCACCTCTGAAACATTAGTACACTTCTACCAGACCATATGATGCAACATCCCAAAAGACAGACATCTTCGTACTCTCCGAGAACCTCGCATTAACAGCCAGATGCTGACATGCTGAATGAATACTGGTTAACACACAACCATCTTGAATTTATTCTCCTACCACTGAAAGGTTTTAAGTTTGACAGTTTATGCAGAATGTGCATTTTCTAGTATGACCCTTTCACATTTTATAGCAGGTATATTAAATAAAAATGCCTAAGAAAACTTAGATTCAGATGAATATAAACCATACTCTTCTGGTATGTATCGGTATAAGCAGTACTACAACTGAAGCCTCTTTCAAGTATGTTGCTTTCCACTGTCCTTATTCCAGATAATGAGTTCATGCACCTTTGAATGTTGTTAATACTTCAAGGGTGCGTTACATAAACACACTTCCAACTAATCTGGTCGTCATTAAAGAGTTAAGTGCAGCTTCCTAAAACCACATTTTTGGCATATATCATTGCTACACAAGTTCTGTCATATCCCCCCCCCAAGATTGAAGTCTCTAAATAACAGTGGTATACTATAAACTGCATAAAATTTCATTAATAGCAATTCAATGACCATGCTTATTGGCATTACTTTGTTATACATTCCCATGTAAACAAATCTAACCTCAATAACTACTGAAATACCAAACACCCACAGCCGATCAAAAGGGTTTAGAAATAATAAGAAGAAAAGACTCAGGAAGTCATTAAGTACTCTGGGGGGCGTGACTGAATTTGTACCTCCGTTATTTTATTTTGATCAAATCGTCAAAGTTGGTCAACCTTCGTTAAGAAACCGCAGTACACTACACTAAATTTATGAGACGTTGCACATCAAACAAACACTAACACTGCTTAAAAATACGTTTTTGGATTCCACCCAAAATATCTTTACATTTTTCTCCTACAACTCTGTCTGCATCGCTTGCCGTAATTAAATAATGTTGACGTACACTCAGATTCACGCTTGTTGCCATCTGCTGTTAAAATACGTGATATATACAACCATAATCTCGCTAATTATCGCATGATCGGAATCAAAGTTGTGAATTTGGTGTTTTTCTAAGGCTGTGCCTGTGTTTATGATGACAGGGAAGTTTAGAAAAGCATACAAAATTCCAGAATACTAACAGTGATGTACATACTTTCCTCTTTTTAAATACAACAACAATAAATATTGTGAAATTACAGCTGATTCACAGCAGACAGGTAACAAGAAAGATTATAGCAGACACAGATTATGAAACAGTGCAAACAACAGGTGAGATTTAAGTGACTAACATCACGGCATTGTATGTATTCTGTACTCGCATTAGCTTGACATTTTGAAATGCAGCCAAGAAAACGGGAAGAAATTATGTCCATTCCGAGTTTGTACTTCGTTAGAGATTTTTATGTTTCTTACTATGATTTCCTAATTGCATTACATTATGTGTTACGACATATGCACTGAAGTAGGTTACTTGCATTTCAAGTGTCTGAACGGTGTAGAGAATGCAGGAATATGTACAACGGTAGTACAGCATATATTTAACAATACGCAGAGTAAGTGTGATGTTTAATATGTTGTAGTTTTAAAATTGCCAATATTAAGTATGTAGGAATTACGGATTAGTGTGTGATTCTGAGTATGTTAATTGAATTTAGCGTAATAGGTTAAGTAATTACGAAATGTGCCAAGTCGGGTTCATAATATGTTTTTAAACATGTTAAGACAGTTGGATAATATAACACACATTTGGGATTTTGGTTTCAGAAATGTAGTACGAACAGAATTTAAATTTAAGCTGCTTGATGTTTAGACCCTTCATAGTACCTAGTTTAACCCTCTTCCTTACAGCCTATTTGCAAAATTGCAGGATGTGAGTTGGGTCTCCAACCCATTCATATGCTAAGCTAATCTGACCAAATCTAATACTTTGAATTGAGTCATAACTGCTTCCTCCACTGTTCTTTCTAGGTCAATGTTCATAATAATCATCTTTTTTCATTTATTAGTAGATAACCACTTCTGATACAGTATCATTAAAAACCTGTGTATCATGCAACCAACTAACCAATCAAGAGTGACAGGTGAGTGAGAGAGGTATATATATTTGTACTGGTGTTTGATACATATTATATTATATTATATTGTGTTATTATGTAGGGGAAGCTTTATTCTTGTTTCATTGATTATTTTGTCTGTATGAACTGCCTGTTCTATAAAGACACATTTTATTTAAAATTCGATACATTCTAGAAGCTCTTATAGAATTGTTAGGAATATTTATTTATTTGTGTCAAATGGCAGGTACATAGAATTCCATCTTTGACCCTTTTTTGCCAAGTTTGTAGACCACTTTGCCATCAAAGACGTTGCCCAGGGTGCACCACAAGGAGGTAGGTCTGTTAGGAATATTGTCAAGAAATTTTGTAGAATCAAATCTAAAAGTTCTTGATGATGGTGATGAGTCATTAGAATAAGAATTTTCTTGGATATTATCCATCATCTAGTAAATAAAATATAAAACGTAAAAAACGACGTTTCCGTCTTCAGGTTCCTACTCAGTTGGGCCCACTAGATGGAGCTAATCCCTATCTCTTATTCTAAAATTTTGTAGAAGTTGAGATTCTTATGACACTGAATGTATCAATTATTGTATTACCTGCTTTTATGAAACCTAAAGGACCATTAGCATGTTTGCAGATGCCCACCATTGGTCCGAATCCTAAGCCAATTGAATCCATTGCACTCCATAATATTCTGTTCCTTGTAATCTATTATAGTATTATCCTCGTATCCACACATACATTTCCCAAATGATGTTTTTGTGTCAAATTTCTATATGCATTTTTTTATGTTCTCTATGTACGTTATGTGTCATTCTTCTTGAAAATTTTGATTTGTTGATCAGATGCACATGTAAAATGAATGGAAATCCTTTGTGTGATACAAATAAATGTTATTACATTTTGTTTTATAATATATTTACTTAAAGTAACTTCAATGCCCACTAAATCTGTATGGAATCAAAAAAGGACCTGTTTTATATAGGTTTGTTTATATTCCATAGACTGTAAGCTTTAAGTTAGACACATATTTGTCAAACAGTCTGTATTTATGCTCTACAATTTCTCTATTTCTGTTAAAGTTGGGAAAACTACACACCAACTCTTGTAATACCATATTTGCCATCACCTGTACATTATTTTGTTAGGTTACTTTCTGTCATATATATGAGTATGTTATGTGGATGTGATTTAAATGTTTTATTGGGATTTAATTTTGTTGAAACAGATTGTATTTCTAAAGTATAGTTCATGACCTTTTTTGAGTAATCGTTTAAGCATATAAATGTGATGGAATGCAGTAGTCATTCTGACTGTCTGTCTTTGTCTCAATTAAGCATACTGTTGTAAGAAATTTAATATGATTGAAGCTACTTAAGGAATTAATATAAGGTACCTTCCATCAAGAATCTGAATAGTTTCTGAGAGTTTATATTGTTGAAAGGAGTCTGATTGGTCACACTGGCTGCTGAGGTAAATATATTTTGCACTGAAACTGAAAATGATAATTTCACGCAAGTTGTCAGACAGTATTTTATTAGTGGCATTTTGGGAATAAATATAAATAATTTTGACTATTTTGTTAAAATTGTTGCTTCTGTTTCTGTACCCATTGCAATTTTTTTGGTGGGGGGTGGGAGAGAATCCCAAAAGAACAATTTTTGTATTAGAACCTTTTTATTATTATAATTTAATTTTATATGTAAGATGAAACATAATTATTTTTGTTTCAGAGAAGACCAGGTACTTTTAAATACTTTTCCCATACGTGAATCAAGATAAGCCTACAATGGACAACAATGATGCAGATGATGAAGTAAGTTCAGTATATATCAATGGATGGACACGCTTTGGCTTGGTAGGGAGGTTGAATGTGTGTCACAAATTCAAAATATGCCTTTTCTTTTTTATCTTTAAATGTTATTTAATTGTTATTAAAGTGACTGGATATCTCAGATTTATAAGATAGTTCTTGATAGTCTCTTAAGACAGTCAATAGACAATGTGAAATGCTTTTCGGACATCATGGCCAACGAACTTTTTCACAAATTAACAACAATAACAGCAGCAACAATGGTAACAATGATGATGAATATGATAATTATGGGAAATTGGAAGTATCTGAACTAGTCTGTAGGTGAGGGAAAAATGAGAAAAAATATACAGTTTTAAACGTATGTTCCGTAAGGAAGGAAACAAGGGTATGTTGAATGAGACACCGTGGAGATCACCAACATATGTTCACACAAACATGATATTTATATATTGGAAATTGGAAAGGAAATTTTTTTGTTTTTCTGTTTGACAGAATAGTAAATAATTTTTTTTTGAAATTGTTAATAGTAACCACAGTGTACCTTGAAAATATATGCCTCTTGCTTTGTGCTTCATTTTATGTAAAATAATATTCTCTGTGTGCGTGTGTATTGTAAAATTTGTAGAAAACAATGTTTGAATGCATGTTACATGAAACTGTATGTCTGTTTCAGTTCCAAGATGCATATGAATCACAGCCGGTGTAAGTAGCTTTGTGTTATTTTCTTCGTTAAATATTAACTTATGGGATTACTAATATTATTATAAACTGTTTGCTAATTGTGACCTTGCATACTATTGTTTCCTCATAACATTGCTGCATTTATTATTCCCTTGGTTGCCTTCCCGACATTATTGCCCTTTGATGTGGCATAAAGAACACCTTTGGAATTTCAGTGTACTCCAAATAGCACACCTGTCCAACCCTGTTCTGTTATTTGGGTGTGTTTGCTGGGAGGATTTCCTGAATACTGCTTGTTTTGTAGGGTATCTTCCATGGATTTGTTAACAGCCGTGGATGAATCAAGGACAGCAGTCAATTACTTTTTCAATAATAAATTCAGTGATGCAAGAGATATTCTTCAGCCATGGTAAGTGTATGTTGAATTAAGTTATGATATTTCTCTCATGTCAGTTTATAAAGTATGCGCTACTAATTCTACGAAGGTTGTTGTTGTTGTTATTATTATGGACAGAAGCAGGTGTTCATGTTTATAGAAATGCCAACTGTTCTTCTGTTAGTAATTATAAATGAATCTCTATTCTTAATCATTTTTCTAATGGTTTTATTACACATGACCATGTTTCTAATTATTTTAAACATGTCCCTAAATTAATTTTTTTCAGAAAATATGACCCAGAAATACATATTATTTCATTTTTAGAATATGCCCAGAAAAATGAAATTATTAAAATATTTTGTTGAAAAATATTTGATCATATTTGAAAAAATCTTGCTTATATAATTGTAATGATAACTATACTGAGATAACCTGAATTAACTAGAATTAATATTTGTTTTTGCTTAAACTATCAGCCTGTAATATCTCAGGATAATCAGGGAAGTTAAGATTAAATTGAACCTTGTCAGAATGGTTTCACTGAATAAAAATCTACGATTGCCAGTTTGGATACCTGTCATGAATTTGTTATCCCTTTAATTTTAAGTAGGATTTGAGGTTCTCATGGCAGTATCAAGATGGCTGTCTTCTTGGTTGTAGCGCCATGTAGTGTGGTAGAAGTTTACCCTCTGGGCAGTGACTTATGGCCCTGATGATGGAGGTAGCAGAGACCTCTGAAACACTGGTAAATGTCTACCAGACTGCACAGCATTACAACCCAGAAGATAGCCAACTCCTCTTTCAGTTTTTTCTCAGCATCAAGTTGGTGTCGTTCATTTTTATTTTAGGGGTGCCCCTGACCTTGTTCCACATGCCTACCTTTTTTTATAGACATAATAATTATGGGCTATCTCATGGTTACATAAATTGGTTTCAAGGTTACCAAAGCAGCAATCTTTCTCGTGTTCATTATTCTACAGCTCTTGTAATTTAAAACGTCCCTCAAGGATCTGTTTTTTATCAGTGGCTTGTATAATGTTATTAAATGTTCTAATTATCTTCATTTTGCTAATGACTGAAATGCTCTGGGTCATAACATCTCCTTGAGATTGTCTTTTGCATCAGCTAGACATTGACTGTGTACGTAGCTGCTACTACTGAAGCTCGTTGGTAATAAAACGAGCTGTTTCCTTTACAAGGAAAACTGATGTTGGTTTTTAGTTTAATTAATGAAAGACTCTCGGGTTACCAGCCGCGTCACGTGGCTGGTAACCCGAGAGTCTTTCATCAACTTCAGTCGCCATGGAAGCTTCACTTTATTTTAGTACAATCTTTGTGATTCCCCTGTTAATTGTACAGACATTGTAAAACTTTTTTTTCTGTATTTTAAAGTTTATTTCCACCAACATGTGGAATTACGTTTCCACAAGCTATCAAGTTTTTGTGTCTTATTTGTATAATAATCTTTTCATTCTTTTGACATGTCTTCTGATGTTACAGTTTACTTTAATGTATCTAAACTTCAGTATACGTCGTACATCCACCGTATGGAATACCTTCGGCTATTGCCAACATGATTGTGCAAATCTATAAAAAGTTTTTAGCCCCTTTTTTTTACAATTGTTTCTTTTATAAATCCATTACAGATATGCAAATGCTGTGTATTACCTACATTTTCAAACTTCATGCACTAGGAGGCAGTACTTTGATACCTTTTTTCTTGTTAGTGTATATAATGGTTTTAAATTTTGCCCTTTCTTACCAGAAACTGTTGGTATTAGCATTTCTACTCAAAATCTTATAGGTTTCTGTTTGTTTACTGCTGGTTCCTCTTGTAAAACTTGTTCCTTTGTAAATGTACTTCAACTGCAAGAATTGTTCATAAAAATATTAAGATAATGTATTTAGTAAATGTTTAGTTGTAGTTAATTATATTTTAAAATAACTAGTCTTCTGTGTTAGTAGCATTTTTTGTGTGTGTTTTTTGTTTTGTTTAGCATGATGATGTAATTTTTATTTTCATTTTGTTAGCATTATATTAATTTTTTGTTTTCTCTTTTGTACTCTGTTATCGGCCATTTGGCTTTTGAAGCAGCACAATAAAATAAGGACCGAAATAAATGGAATTGCTACTATTATTATTTTGTAATTCAGGGCCAGCAGCAGTATGTATCATTCAGTTGGGAACAGTGTACTCACATTTCTTGAAGCGATACTTACGTTTGAACATGTAAGTAACATTTAACTATTCATTTTTAGCTTTATAACAAAAAGGAAATGGTTTATAGTCCACATAATTCTTCCTGTCTTCCCTTAACTACTTTAATCTGATACAGCTATTTTAATTAAACTTGAAGTAGAGATCTTGCCATAAGAGATTATGAGTGCCAGTCATTAGATATCCTATACCGACAGCTATTATCCCGGATAGCTTAGTGTGTAAATCGACTGGCTGTAGGTTGGATGACGAGGTTAAGGTTTTTATTAGGGGTCTTCTAGGTTGTTGCACCGTGTAGTCTGGTAGAAGTTTACTGACGTTTCAGAGGTGTTTGTTGCCTCCATCATAAGGCCTGATGATGGAGGCAGCAAGCACCTCTGAAATATTGATGAACTTCTACCAGACTACATGGCCCAACAACCATGAAGACAGCAAGCTGTTTCATACCTTATTTTAGTTGATATGTTTATAAATCAGTATAATTCTTTTATACGTTGTATTTTATAGCTTTGTGTGGTAGTTATTTTCTCACTTTTTGGTTTTGCATATTTCAGATTATAAGGACAATTGATTAACAAGTGAGATTTATATTTTGGATAACATATTAACATTTGATTCATCTTCTAGGTTCAAAATTTCCCATATTTAAGTACAGTGGGGGGAGAAACTTTGAATCGGTATAGTAGTGAGACATGTGATAAGAAGATTGGAGTGGCAGGGTGTATGAGTTTTACCTGTTCTTTTGTGAGAGACTAAAGACTTTGCTTTGCTTTCTGTCATAAGCAACAGTTACTGTATTTCAGCAACACATAGAGGCTGCTTCCGAAGCACTGAAACAGTGCATGACAGTCTGCAACAGATACCGAAAAAAGAACTCCATTTCTGAGTCACTGGGAAAGATAGTGAAGAAAACCAACTATGATCTGTATTCACCAGGCAAGTTGTTACAAGAGCAGAGGTTATGTTCCATTCTTCCTGATGTGAATCTCCTAATGTTCTCCTTTTCTTGTCTATATAAAAGATATCAGTTTCTGTATAAACTGAACCAAAGAATAACTTCCTGCAAAACTTTTATGTATTGGATTCTGAATCAGTTATTGCTAGTGAAGAGTGTGATCTTACAGTATTATTGATAAAATTATAACTGTTTTGAAATATCTGGAGTAATACAACAGTTTCCATGGACATTTATATGTACTGTTTGAGTAATTTAATTGCACGCAAACATTACCCAGAGTTGAAACAATGGTAATTTGAAATATGGACAGTTTAAATTTTCAATAAATATCTAGGGAATATGCAGGGTTCATGAATAATTATTTGGTGTATGACTGTCTCATATTCCAATGACCTTGAACTTGCTTTGAATGTTTCACTGAGTTTCAGTCTCTTATCAAAGGTGTAGTGGAGCACATTTTTGTTATTTGTTTTACCCAGTTTCATATTCTGTAGTCATTGTCTGTATCATACCAGGAAATAACCTGTGAATAAATAAAGTAAGAGATTTGAGATTGTAAAAGTTTAATGGTAGAGGTTTGTTTCTTACAGAGGAAATTCATGCAGAGTTATGTTATGCAGAAGCTTTGCTACTGAAATCTATGCTTACATTTGTGGAAGATGAAACACTTGTCAGTTTTATTAAAGCTGGGCTTAAGATTCGTACCTGTTACAATTCTTACAAGTAAGTGTAATTTAATTATAATTTCATTTTCATAACATTTTTCCCTTCTGTGAACTAAGTTCAGAATTCTTTAGCTGATTTTAATTGACAGTTAGGTCATAATTTATATTGCTTTCCATCTATGGGAAAATCTGAACCAATTATTATTTTTTTAGTGAGGCGTTTTGAATAATTTTGAAAGTGTAAGTGTAGAAAATTATAGGATCATGATGGAATGTTGGTAATTTGACTTTGTTTTGTTTCAAGAAAGCAGGCGATGCATTTAAAAGTACCATATTGCATCTGTTCTCTAAAATGTTTGTGTATTATTTCTTGATTTCATATGAGAATGCACATCATCATCATCAGTTGCCAGAGTTATGGAAATCTCAAGTTTTAAATACTCAAAATTCCTTGCATGTTATTTGAATACTTTATTAATTGAACTAAAATGTGTATGGTTGTTAAGTGAGTGGATGTTAGTGGTTCTCGTTTGTGACATGAAAGGAACATATCTAGGTTTTCATTTTGTGAGTTCTAAAAGTATGTAAATACAATAAATTATATGTATACAAAATTTGGCAAGTGGACCACCAGTTCAAAAGATTTTATCCTCATCAGTCTGGAAAATAAATAATAAAGTCAGTTATTTTGTGCTTGAATCAAGAGGTTTTAACTCAAAGAACAAAACTAGTTTTAATTATTGTTGTAGACTTGTTCAACAATATTTAATTTGGCCAAAATATGCCTTTAATAAAGTTAAATATAATTTGTCCCTGTCATACCATTAGGTAAGGCTCCATGCATTTTAACCTCAACACTAGTTGCTGTGAGTTGTCAGTTTCATGCAATCGTGATACCCATTTGCGAAGAGGTTAGGTGGTCCTCTGGGCTGGTATGGATGCAGTAAACCTGTTTTTAAGCCCTTAGGGTGGGGCCACACGACCGTACAAAGTACGTCCATTGTAACGCACATGGTGACGTCCGTCATAGAATTATGATTTTTAAGTACAGACAATACTATTTTTTTTTTCTAAATCCTTTCAAGCTGCCAAGGTAATTGGCGCTCGTGTGGTGTCCTCACCTACGTCCGTACAAAAGTAGGTCCGTTGCAACGGACGTACTTTGTACGGTTGTGTGTCCCCAGCTTAGCCAGTAAATTTACTCGGTTATCCTAACTTTGTTTATTAGCACTCACTTTTATATTTAGTACATGCCACTTTGCACATATTTGGGTCAGTGTTGAAAAAACTGATACCACATTTATCATTTGTAATATCTTTCATAGGGAATGTATGAACATTTTAAACCAGAGGAACTGGGGTGATGAAAGCCATAAAGTACATTTTGAGAGTGGTGTCAGAATGGGAATTGGAACATTTAATCTTGTGAGTATGATTTTGACTGTTAGTATTTTTTCAGTATATTTTGGTCGGGTAGATGCTAACCACAATACAGAAACACTTTGGCTTTGGAGAAAGTTTGTTGGATGATGAAGACAGCCATCTTCAGACTCACCGTTGTGAAAACCTCTAATCCTACATGGTTTTTTTTAGTCATGTCACTGTCGGATAGTAATTTGAGAGACGTGCTTTCTACAGGCATTTCTTCTCTAATAGGGTCTTCCAAAATATTGTAGCTGCTGTATATTGTTACTGTTTTCTTATATTTTTTCCAGCATATTTTACCATGCAAGTTCTTTGGGTAAAATTAAATGGTTATCTTTTGTTTCAGATGATCTCATTGCTGCCTGGCCGCGTTATAAAACTGTTGGAGTTCATTGGGTTTTCAGGAAGCAAAGTGAGTTTCATGTAGCTCATGTAGCCATACACTCATAAACGGTATAAAAGTTCAGGCATTTTTCTTTCAAAGTGTAATGTGATTTAAACTGGAAGTAAAATTCTCTAGGCCTTTTCCCAGATTTTTTGTTTTGGAAGATCTTAGAGTTAACTGAATTTCCTTAGGTTTCTGTCCTGAATTTGTGGGGTAATCTGATTTCAAGAGTTCTCAGAGTTTAACTGTGCAGTATTCAAGCTCATTATTCACTTGTCATATCATGCCTGCATAAAGTTGCATTTGTACAATAATTTTGTTGCAGAAAATTTTATAATATTGTATATTTAATCTGCCATTCGTATCTAGTTATACTAGCCAGTACTCATAGATTTTGTAACAAGAATAACAGAAACATTTTGCTTAACACTTACGGGTTCTAACGATGGTGCATTGTATACAATATTACTAATTTTTTTTGACTTGATCCATTATTCAATGTGCTAAAAAAGACCACTACATTTTTTGGAGCTGAGCATTATTAAGTAGACCAAGACCAAAATTAGCTCAGACCGAGCCAGGTTAGCTTAGTCAGTATAATGATTGGCCACAGACTGGATGACTGGGGTTTGATCCCCGATGGAGGCGGAGGATTTTCCTGTAGTTTAATTTTTTGTATCTGTTCCAGGAAGTTGGTATACATGAATTGGAGATGGGATACCGACTGCACCATAGCGTACGTCAAGTCCTGTGTGTGATGGCATTGCTTGCTTATCATCTTCTTGTGTTGTATGTTCTTAGTCATACTGATGGGGACATAGAATTCTGTGATGAGATACTGAAAAGTCAGCTTCAGGTTTGCAATTGAATTTATTTATGAGTAATTTAAAGTAATGTTATTGTGGTGAAATTTTGATTTAAGAAATGTCAGAGTGAGTAAATATTTTCATCCATTGTTGAACTTATTATTTTAACACATGGTGACATGTTTTGTTATGGCCAAATTAATTTCTATTAAAATTTTCAGTTGAATATATAAGAACTAATTTTTGTTGTTGATGGCTGTCTTGGATATGTTGTGCCATGTTGTTTGGTAGATATTGATCAACGTTTTAGAGGTGCCTCCGAGGTGGAGGCAATAGGGACCTCTGAAATGTTAGTAAACTTCTTTTAGACGACGTGGCTCTACAACCCTGGGGACAGCTATCTTTCGAGTTGTCACTGTGAAAACCTCAAATCCTATATAGCAACCCATTTTTATTTCCCCAGAAGTGAGTTTTTCAGATTTTTATTCTTTCAGAATTTTTTGGCACAATTCTTAAGGAGTTTGGTGCAATAGGTAACAGAAATTACCTTTAGTCTTTGTTTTGCGTGCTGTCTTTATATATTGATTTCTTAAGGCCATGACTTCATGTTTAGAACCTTCCGACCATAAAACCCATATGTGCTTCAGGGAATTTTAAAGGTTATGGCTCATCGACTTGTCAAGCAGAATTTGATCAATTTTATGTTTTCCCCCTCTCTCTCCCTCTGTCTTTTTAACTTCTAAGTTTATAAGCTGAGTTCTACTCAAGTACCACTTCAAGCTTGATGTGAAGTGGCAGTCCAAATTCTTAAAAACAGTCCAAATGACCAATGGGCTGTCAGTAAAGACTGCACATATTAAAATCATAAATGTCAGTTTGGTTGTTGCAGATTTTTCTCATGCACACAGACGATAGTTGTTTTCTTCATGTGTAAACTCATATAATGTTCTAAGGTTCAGTAGATTTGGTTAAAAATTGAGATTTTGCTTTTGTCTGTTGGCCATCTGTTTTGTTTGATCGATTGATTAGCCTTTACTTTTTCTAAAACCAAGTAACTAATAAAATTTATGTTCTTTTACTAATATTTTCAGCTATATCCTGAAGGAGTGTGGTTCCTCTTTTTTAAAGGACGCTTAGAGTTTATGAAAGGAGACGTCGATGAATCCATAAAATGGTACTTAAAGTCGTGGAAGTCTCAGAATATGTGGCCACAATTTCATCATCTTTGTTTCTGGGAGCTGATGTGGACAAACAGGTGAAGTGAAAAATTCTAGACTCTTCATGAAATCATAAACAAGTGTTAAGAGTTTGGATTGTGGTTTATTAAGTTATGACGTGTCTTGTAGGTGGCTACCAGTTTTTCAGAGGAACTTATCATTGCATTGCTTGTTTTAATTGGACAACCAGGCCTCAGCCACTGTTCTCTGGTGTTTTTGAGAGTATCTGGTTATTATTATTCCATCTATTCACCGCTTTATAGGGTATTTACTTCTATGTACCCGAGACAAACCTTGCCCCTGAGGTACATAGTGCAGCAGCTATTTCCGAAATACATTTTGTTTTTAATACGTGTTACATGTATTGTATAGTTTTATTTTGAGGGATGACTACATATTTTACGACAGCGTCTTTCGAATGATGCACGAAGATCCTAAAATGGTAGTTTTCTGAAATTCCCTGATGTGTTCTCCCCAGGATGTTTTAAAAAAAAACCAGTCTAACACAGATATTATCTTAGGCATTTAGTTTATGATTATGTACTCCTTGTTAATAGAGGTCATAAGGATTACTTTAAAAACTTAAAAAATGGTGCTACTGACACCACTACGACTGTCTCACGTGATCTTATATGTTTGAATCGACAGTGTCAAACAGGAGTGGCGAGAGGCAAGCTTGTATGCTGATCAGCTGCTGCACGAGAGTCGCTGGTCCCGGACCATCTACAGTTATCAGAAAGCAGCTTTGCTTTGTATGCTTGGCGATGAACTCTCATTAGATGAGAAGGCCGAAATTGAGATCCTCATGAGGTGAAATTACATTTCTTTTCGTTCATGCCTAATAACTGACAGATTCTGATATCAGTGTAATTACTGTTCAGTAGCAACTTACATAAAATTTCTAAATCAAATAACTTTCAAAATAATCCAACTTTAATACATTTACAATATTAAGTAATAAACATTTTGTTTCAGTTGAGTAACTAATTTTACTTTAAGAAGTACATACATAGCATAACAGTTATGATGTTTTTTCTCTTTTCTTACTCCTAGATTTTCAGTTTGTGAATTCTAACTTTTGATGCTCTTATAAATAGCCCAAAAAATAAGATTTAGCCAACAACCAAGGAATTGCAATATAAAACTGGCTTAGAATCTGAAGTTGAATTTTATAATATTTGATAACTCGGATATATTATAATACTGTTATGTATAATATTTTTTAATTCTTTGTTTTCAGACAGTACTATTTTTATAACTTATTTTGATTAGGATATGCAAATTAGATAATTTTCAGTTCAAATGACAGTTGTTTACTCATTTACTGTGGTCTGATTGTGTGGAATTTTCTTTCAGAGACTCCCCTCAGTGGAAGCAGCGAATTGCTGGAAAGTCGTTGCCAATGGAGAAGTTTGTAGTGAAGAAGAGTGAACGTTTCTTTGCTCAGAAGAAGATGTTGGTTCTACCAGCACTGGAACTTATGTATGTGTGGAATTTATTTAAAGTACTGGGCAAGAAACGTGAACTGATTCAGAACGTGTACAAGTTGATTGAGAAGGCATTGGCCAAACTTGATGCTCAGAAAAGTAAGTTGCCACTTCACTTTCCGTTCTGTAACCCGAAGACACCAAAATCTAGTTGAACGATTTGTTAGCAGAACTTGTTAATCTGTTACGTCCATATGAAGTGTTATGTCACAGTTTTGTGAAGTGTAACACCATTAATTTTGTCATATTCATCCTGTTGCCTGTTTGTAATGAAATTTATGAAAATATCTGTTGTGTATGTACTGAGTTTATGTCTCTACTTAAAGATTATATGGCGTGCTTTATGTGTATGTGCACATGTGCATGATTGTGTGCTTATTCATGTATTTACACATTGGTTAAAAATAACAGGCAAGGTTTTAAAAATTTGCTTGTTAAGGTTATTCAGTGAATTAAAATGACAAGTTTCATTTACTTTCGTATGTGTTTGAAGGTTTAATTTATTTACTACAGGTGTAATATATTTAAAGAATTCTATTTATTTTGGTATGAATTTAATTTTAGACAGGTCTTTCGTCTGTAAAGTGTAAGTTGCATGGTTATTGTATATTTTTTCTTCTAGAACATCAGGAGTTTGATGCCGATAACAGAGCTCTGGTGCTGCTGTTGAAGGGAGCAAGTCTCCGACACATGCAAAGTCCACTGCAAGCGGAGGAATGTCTAAATAGTGTTCTTTCATTAGAGAAGAAGCTAAGGGAGGACTTTTACTTAATACCGTATACGTTAGTGGAACTTGCATTGCTGTTCAGAGAACAGGGGAACATTTCAAAAACATCGCAGCTGCTGGAGGATGCAAAGTAAGGAGCCAAGTTTATTCATCAGATATTATTAGTATGATTAAATCAAAGATAATGGCAGTAAAACAACGGTTGGTACTGTAAGCACAAGTCTTAAAGTTGCGCCTTTATATAGATTTTTGTACTTCACATTAATACAGTTTTATCATGAATAAAAATGTAAAATTTCTATTGGTATTATTACAAATTTCTGACCTTTCTTATTAATAAAATTTACATGTCTGAAAAGCCTTTTATGATGTGTGATGGTACACTAAATTATTATTTTATGAATTAAAGATGATCTCGGGTGAGATTTAAGCCTGATATGAAACATCGTGCTCGTGCGTTTGTGTGCGCATGGGCACAGTAATTTTTAATCTACATCTCGATATGTATAATTCTTCTGAGGTGTTTGTTCAAAACATGAAACAGATAAGAGGTTGCTGTGTGGAAGTTGTTCTAGGACTTTGATCCAAACTTTTTGATATACGTGGTTTGTTGGTGTCGTAGCGTTGTGTTCTGTGTTTGGTCTGGTCTCAGGCAAACCAACCTTGACATACCATGTTCTTGAAGATGACTGTGTTTTGGGATGTTATGCGATATAATCTGGTAGAAGTTTACTGACACAACATCGCAGAAGACGGTCATTTTCATTCTCGCCACTGTGAGAACCTGAAATCTGACAGACTGTATTTCTGTCTTGTAACTGTGAATTACAGATTTAAGATTTATAAGAAAACATTTTATTTATACTTTGTATGCTATTTAAGGTAACACTGAACAACTTAAGAATCAGAAAAGCATTAATACTGAGTTTGTTACTTTAAGATACCAAGAATGTTATTTGTATTTCATATTTTATCAGTTGTGTTGTTTGGTGATAACTGGTCTTATCATCATTTTAATTTTGCAGAAAAAATTATACTGGTTATTCATTGGAGTCAAGGCTTCACTTTAAGATCCATTCATTTCAAACTGAATTGAATGGGGGCAAGAAGCCATTAGATGATGTTGTCACTGAGGCTACAAGTCCTTAAATTAATGACCACGTTGCTTCAACTTGTGACTGAGGTAAGTGTCTCTGAAATTTAATTTATTAATAATTTTTCTCAGTTACATACATAGTTAATTTTTCAGGGTGGGATAACAGGAATCAAAATCATGTAATATGGAGAAAATTTAGTAAATGCAGCGCAGAAAAATTGTCCTGATGTAACTACAGCATAGCCATCGTGATCATTCAGTAGGCACATGGAGAAATGATTAGTTGCTTATAACTATGTCGGAGTTAAAGAATAATTTTGCACCCCGTATTCACCGAATCTTTATAGCTTGATTTTATTTCCTGAAATCATCCCATGAATAAAAGTTCATTGTTTGTAAATAATTAGGTTTTCTTGCAAAAAAGGCAGTGGTTCCCAAACTACGTGGTGCGTAAAGAAGTGGTTAACTATGAGTTGTGACTGTTTTGTATTCAGGGAGATGTCGGTGATGGTACTAAATAGAAGTCTTCAGCAATCCGATTCAACTTTGTGCAGCATCGTAAATGAGAATGACACGTTCTCAACAGTAGGATCTGAATAATTGGTATGATTACTAATTCTACCAGTCAAACAGGTGAAATAATTGGTAATCATAGTGTCACATTAGTAATCAAGTAAATGCAGTGCAGTATTAAAATATGAAAACAAATAGGGATGTCCAAACAGTGAAATTTCAGAAGCAAGGTTGTTTTGAAGTCTGAATTGTCATAACTTTATCATATAATAGTAGAGCTAATAAAATGACGTGAACCTACACAACATTGATGTAGTTTTCAGTTTTATAGGTTAGGTAATCTATCATTTTGGCCTCTTCAACTATGTTTACACAAAAACTTGGTTCAGAATAGCTTTTCTGACCTTTTCACTGCAGCTTATTCCTTTTTATGCAGTTTTTTGTGTATTTTTTGCAACAAAAAATGATTTGAATCCCATTCTTTAAAATTTAAATGGTAAAATTAGTGAAACCTCTTAGATCCTTTAGTTGTAGTTTAAAAAGCTGATGACGTATGTTCATATGGGGGTGCAAATTTGGAAATGTAAGAGCTGTTTTGAATGTATGAAAATAGTGACTAAACACAGCAGTTTACAGCTACTTTTTGAATTTTTAAAACCTTCTAACACAGAGATGTTTGTCTTCTGGATTGTTGTGCCGTGTAGTCTGGTAGAAGTTTACCGGCGTTCGTGCCGCTTCCATCATCAGGATGATGAGTAAGCACCCTTATGATTGAGATAGCAAACATCTGTCAAACATTGCTAAACTTCTGCTAGACTGCGTGTTTCTACACCGCAGAAGACGGCCATCTTCATACTCACCACTGAAGTTTTATTTCCAGCTTAGAATTCACCATTTGAAATTTTTACTGTTTGCACATTCCTAAATATTATAGGAATACAGTTAAAAAATCTCGTAAGTGTAAAAATGTAACATAATAATAATTTAAGATATCGGAGTTTATGCAGAGTATACGTAGTTGTGACTTTTCAAATAGAAACATGTACTTACTATTAAGTGAATGTATATAACTATGAAGAAGGAAGCATTCCAGTATTGGATCTTAATTTATTGATTATTCTACTAGTTACAGACATTGTTATATTTTTGTAAGTATCAGTTTGAATTTCATAAGCTGCCATTAAAGATATTAAAAGAGATTTATGACCCTGCACATTATATTTTAAGCATATTTATATATAAAATAATTTTAAGTCATTATGATTTTAGGTATAATATGGTGGTACAAATTCAGTCTAAAGGGTTCTGGTGATGGTGTATTACAATCTGCATTACTGAGTTTTTGGACTTTGCCTGTCGTCTGGTGTTCAAAAAACACACAATGTTTTGAAAACTGGATTTGTCTTCATTCTCAGGTGTAAGGAAGGTTGGGACACCTGTTTTGTTGGGTCCGTTAGAAACACTGGTCCAATGAATAAGTGCCTCCCTTCCTTACACCTGAGGATGAAGACAGGTGTGGTCTTCAAAACATAGTGTTCTTTTAGAATACCAGGTGTTGGACAAAGCCCAAAAAATCAGTAATCCAGATGGTGCTACATCATCAAATTATTGTTATTATTATAGTATTGTATTATTTATTTCTATAACTAAAATCTTTGGTGGCAGATAAAGATGTAGAATTATAATGGCAAAAATGAATTTTATAGTTGAATTCCAGTATCTACATGCAGACATCATCAGAACATGAGGTTATTACTGGCATGACCATTAGTTCATGTAAAATTGATTTCTGCTTGATTTTGTTTTACTTTACACTAAACTTTTTTGTGCAACATGTTTTTGTATGGATGAATGTATTCAGGAAGCAAATAAATAACTGAGAGATATTATGCAGTAGTTATTTTATGCTAACAAGGATATGTCGTGCCGAACCTTGTTGATGTTTTTATGGTCTTACTACGTCAAAGATAGTATATGAGATGGAAGTGAGAGGAGAAATTCTCCACAGTGGAGCTTCAAAATCTGTTTCATTGGATGCAAAATACTTTTCATGTCATATCTCAAAGTTATTTATGAAATAACCGATGTGCTGTTATTTGATTGTTAATAGGTTCTTTATTTTTCATGTTAAGACTCTGAAGGAATTGTTTTGAAAGTAGTATAAAACATTAATATGGTTCCTCATACATTTTACTGGATCTTGTTATTCTCCTTACAGGAACACAAAAAATGCCAGATTCTTTTAGTAATATAAATATAAAATATAAAAGATCAACACCATTTATCAAAACTTGACTTTAATCATTACAACTTCAAACTCATTCCATATGCTAATAAAACTAAATTTATTACTGGCATGACCACAAATGATTCTTGAATAAGTATTTAGTTATTATTTCCTCTATACTTTTGATTTGGATTTATTCTTATTCTGATTCTTATTCCTTTTAATACGTAATTAAACAAGGTTGCAGTTTCAAAATAACTAAAACTATGTTCTGTGAAGATACATTCCATATTCTTCTTAAAGTGTACATATTCTGTTTTAATCCCATTCCCATGCCACAGATGGTCCCATACAAGTCATTCAAGGCGCCGTTTCTTAGATGGCGCCTCAGACTTAGCTCGTTCTCTTTGCTTCTCTCCAACCATGACAGCAGTGGGGCTGAAGACACGTGTTTCCAGCTCCTAAAACAGTCGTGCATGTCCTCAATTCTCCATTAGATATATACTACAGTACATTAAAAAATAAAAAAATTGGCTATGGTATTATAATTTAGTAAACAGTGATTAAAAGTGTCTCAGACTATAGTTAGATAGACCTGTATCATCTTGTCTCTAATCCTGAGAGATTTTAATTTGTGTTGCATAATTTTGAGAGAAATTTTATTTTTGGAAGTAATATAGTTTATAATAATTCAGTACTTTGCTACATCATATCACAAAAACTTTATGGGTAATAATATTTACTTTACGTTGGTCCAGATCAGTGTAAAAAAGTATATGTCCTAATGTGTGCTGTCATTGCACAGTAGAATTAATGATTTGAGTATGGCTCTCATTTTTATATTAAATACATTCTCAAAATACCACAGGAATTTAGAAAATATAAAGCATTTCAAACTTGTCTGTGTAATGCAAAATTACTGTACGCTTTATTACGAGCCCCTTAAGGCACCAGCTTGGCATATACCGGTGGGACTGTGGAAAGCTACGAAAAACCGCAGTTAGAATAGCCAATCTCCAACCTGTTATTTGAACTTGCATCTCTCAAATATGAAGCAGGAGTGCTAACCATCTGAACACAAAATTTGGTCTTAAATCTACAAAGATATACTCTTCCATAATTTTGTACCGTGTCATTTGATTTTAAACTTTGAAGTTTGCCATTAGATAACCTTAGAAACAGTTTTTATGTTGATGGTTGCCAGTCACTGAACAAGGATAATACCATCATTCACAGAATACTGCAAGGAAATCATCTTTGGTTGCATCAGAAGTCACTTTTTGTACAAATATTGTTTGAGCAGCATAGTTGTAGCAGAGAGTCAAGACCTGGAAGCATGGAAGAGAAATGTTTACCTCTGGAGCATGATAGTAAGCAATGTGATGTTGAACAGCTCCCCAGACCTTTTCTTCCAGCAAGAGGTTTGTCACTTCTTCGATATCTGGAGCCATGTAGCGATCCTTGTCCCAGGGTCTGTGCAATGTAAGTAAGCCAAAACATAATTGTAGTTATTAGTATATTAAAATTTTTAAGTACAAGATTATGGGGCTCTAAAGAATACTAAAATGTAGTATAAAATGTGAATATCTTTTGTATCTCTCTTTCATATTTGATAAATTTGTGTTTTATGAAAATTTGATGTTTACTCTAAAGCTTTTATGTAATGTTCCATCAGTGTCTTTGAGTCCAGTAGTTTCTACAGACAAAGAAGCTTTAGAAATATTGAAGTAAAGAAATGCAACATTTCAAACACATGCTCTAGTGGGATTTTACTATAACAAAGTAAACTGGTTATGTATTCCTAACATAACCCATTAATAATTAGAATTATGCTATTTGAATTCACTAATCATCTTATCTAATTCCAGAACTTTCTCCTGTGTTAATTACTAATTATGTACCTTCATGTGAGTTTAGATCCAAAGGTTTTCAACAATAAAAACTGGTCTTTGTTGTTTGTAAAGTTCTCACCTGACAACACTTCGAACAACATTGTACACTTCCTCCAAAGGAACCGTTGTCTTAAGTGGGCGTAAGAACTCAATGGCTTGGCAAGCAGCTAGCAGTTCAATGGCGATCACTTTCTCAACATTTTGAACCACCTTAAACAATGGATAATTTAAGTGTAACTGACAGGTATTAGACACATAAAGTGGTCCATTTCATATGTAACAATAAAAAAAGCTTTAAAACTTAACATTATCTTAGCTAAAGTGAAACTGAAAACTTGGAATTAAATTTCTATACCAGAGAAAATACCAACTCACTTGTACAGCTTTCCTTGCAGCAAAACAGCCCATGGAGACATGATCCTCTGTCCCTGCACTTGTGCTAAGGGAATCAACTGATGCTGGATGACACAAGGCCTTGTTCTCAGACACTACAAATCATCACAATATTCATACAAATAGAGATGATTTATAAAACTCTCAAAATTGGGCACATAAGAATAGATGGAAACATTATTTGACAAGGTAAATTGAGTGGTTCCTTTCTGTTGGTTCAGTGGCTCCACATGTAGAGAAAGGAAGTGTTTATATTCATGTTTTTTAGAGGTATATGTTATTTTCACATGGCCAAACAATGTAATGGTATATAGATAATGAAATTTTAACCTTACTATAATAAAAATTCATGGAAAAATACTATTGAATACTTCACTTGAAATTTGATTTGATCATCTTAGACATTTTTCCTAGTCCATTTTACACTCAGTAGATGTCATGTTACAGTGATTTGTACAGTGCCTTCTGATGCTTCCTTCATGCAGGTGTGAACTGAAACTGTGCCACATTGTCTTCATAAATCTAACCTCTTTGACCTGTGATTACACAACTCAAAATCATAAAAATTACAAAGAGATGGGTATCTTTTCTGATGAAGTAATCTGTGGTTATTAGCTTGTGTTTTTGTTTTGCAGGATCCAACAAAGTTATACTTACACACCTGAAAAGTAAGTGATCCATAATTCTTTAAAATAGTAATATTACTGTTTGGAATAATTTGTACTTAGAGTAGGAATCAAAATCAAAGTTGGCTTCAGAAAATGGTACAAAGTAATGTAAGATTATAATCCAACTACACAATGCACTTTAGCTCATAGGTTAGCATGGTGGATATGGTTGTAGGAATGTCTTGTGTACAAGTTGGAATGTTTTAATGTTTGCAACTGTATATGTGGGACATTATTATTATCATCATCATCACCATTGTCATTGAATAGAATGGAATTTATTTACATTCCATAAATCATAGGCCCAAGCAAGGATGTAGAACATGTCATAGCACAAATACAAAACTTGTTTTTAATATCAATATAAATTACATAGTTATGACAGTAATTTGCAATCAACTACAGTATTACATTAAAAAAAACAACAAGAAAGCATACCCACTGTTCATACAGAATTTTGTGAAATTAGTAAAGGAACTTCCAAGAATTTATATTAGCTACAAATTATATTTCTTCTTTATATGATTAGAAGTACTTAAGAGTTTATATGGTTCTGATTTTAATTAAAATGTCTAAGTAGGTGTTATGATACGTACCTAGTGCAGCAGCTGTACAATGGGCCAACATAAACCCGGAGTTAAGACCGCCGTCCTTTACAAGAAAGGCAGGTAGCTCACTCAGTGCTGTGAAACAGATTATAAAATACACTTAGCTTCTGAAAATATACGGAACATTGTTATGTATTTGTTACATATTTATAGCGAAGTTGTGTGAACATGTGACTTGTAGTATCTGTTATGCCATCATATTTTACTACTTCGTTAGCCCTTCTTTGTGAACCAGTAACTAATTCTTAAGAATCATAAATGCTTTGGTATAAATTTTTTTACAAACTTTACAGATATAGACATTTTCTGAATACCTGCAACACCATTATTAGTTTAATTCTGAAGTTAAAAACAAGCACCAGCCCCATAGACCTCGTACTTAATCCATCGCCCTGTTAGCGCATGGTGGCCCTATAGTGCAGGCAGTGTGATTAAGGTTGATATGCTGGTATGAAATATACTTCTGATACTGACCTGAGAATTTCAGTCTTCAAGAGTTTCAGAGAAATATTGTGTGTGAAAAGTTTCGTGTGTTTGTGTCAGAAATGTGTAACTCACCAGGATTTACTAGTCTCTCAGTTCGTCTTTCACTCATTGAAGCTAGCTCATGGACAGCCACAGCAAGATAATCAAGCACTTTTGCTGGATATTCTCCGTGGAAGTTACCAGCTGATATGATTTCCCCACGCTCAGCAAATACAATCTGACTCTTGTTAAGGAAATATAACAGTGAAACTCTGGGGTAACAAAATTTGAATTCAGTGAGAATATAAACAACGCAGCTAGAATTTCATACCGATCCCTTTGCTTTTATATACAAATGGAAAATTTTGTCTATAGCTCCTTCACACAGCTTCACAACTGCATGTATTTGTTGATATATATTATTTTCAACCTACATGAAGATTTTTAGACATTTAACAAAACTGAAATAGTGAGCTGTACATTTGCCCAGACTTTATTGATTTATTATGCCTTGTGTATGAGCATCTTCCTCAAACTTTGTGGAGTTAATTAAAATTATTTTTAAGGTTATGTACACACACACATGCGCTTATGTATAGTAACTCCCAAAATACAAATTTCCCTCTCTCTGTATATACTTGATATACTTTCATTAGTATATACAAATATTTTATAGTAAGAACTATTTACTTTCTTTACAGAAATTATAAACAAAGATGTGTTGTTCTTGACAGTATAGTTTCTCATTATGGAGCGTAAGACAAATGTTCATTAATGCTATTAATAAATTAGAAACTTTCTTAAAAGTGCAGTAATATTTCAGCAGTATTATAGTTTTACCCACTTGAGTATAGAATATCTTTGGGTCTTGCCTCAAAAATAGCATTTTATGACAAAATTAGTCATATGAATTTTAATATATATTTTTTAACTCTCGAGATGATTGACGTGCGGTAGAACATTTATGCGATGTATAAAGGATACAGGATTATCTGTGCCACTGTTCATCTCCACAGTTATGATACCTTGCACAAAGTCAATAGTGTCGTGAACAATGCCATGTACTTGGGGACAACATCGTAGCGTGTAAGCATCCTGCACTCTGTTGCAGAAACGATGACTTTCTGGTATACAAATAAATGGTAAATTTTAAAACATTATCAGTTTCAAAAAATTTAATAGAACTATTAAAACTTTGTTGTAATAATTTTTAAAGGGACATTGAAACACGACCTTGTAGTTTAACCTCTTTATAAACATGTTCCATGCTTTTATTTTCTAGTTCACCATCCATTCTTATAAAAATTACTGCCATTACTTGAAGATCTAAATTATCTTACGCTTATGTCATTGAATATTTATTTAATCAAAAGGATCTTTACATTTTTGAGAAATTTAGCAAAGTGATTCTCATTGTATATTATATTTAATGAGATAACTTTCATACTTTACCTGCAATCTGTGATGGGTATGTTTCTGAATGGAGCAGAGCTCTTAATCGTTTAGCTACTGCAATCTGCCCCTTGTGCGGACGAATCATTTGAACATCTGAATCAAACGCTCTGGACGTCCCCTTGAGAACTTCGAGTGTTAGTGCAGCTACAACATCTGCTTGCCGTGCAATGTAGAAAGCTCGTTCAACAGCCTCTGCTCCTAGTGATGTAATCAGCTGGGTGCCATTAATGAGTGCTATTCCTTCCTTGGCATTAAGTCTCATGGGAGACAGACCATGGGCTGACAGGACCTAACGAAATTAATATCGGTTTAAGAATATCAGACTTTTGGAAGATGGCTGTCTTCTAGGTTGTAACACTTAGAAACTTGGTAAACTTCTACCAGACTACATGGCGCTACAATTCAGAAGACAGCCAACTTATTTTACAGAAACTTTTGCTGATAATCATTTTAGTAAATTTTAATAAAAGCTGTAAATGTCAATAATACTGAGTTCTAAGTGTGGTTTTCACTTTTCTTACATCTTGAGCATTACCCCAGCCTGTTTCCGGACTCCACATCTTTCCTTCTCCGAGAAGACCTAGAGCAAGATGTGCCAATGGTGCGAGATCTCCACTGGCTCCAACTGATCCTTGCTCAGGCACCCACGATAAACATGATGCTGAAATAAAGAATAGTTTTGTGTCTTGTAGTCATACTTAGAGTTTACGAAACACCGAGTATAGCTGCATTTTTTAACAAAGTTATTGTTTTGTACGTGAGACTGAAATTTTAAATCATAAAATCATACTGAATTTAAAATTATGTCTTAAACGGCCCATCCACGTACGAGTCTGGCTCGGCGAGCTTAACTTGTGAGCAGGGCTCGGACATATTTCACCGCGCATGCGTAGCAGACTCGGCTCGTGACACCCCCCACCCACAAACGAGTTTGGCTCGATGGAACCCGAGCCGAGCCGGACTCGTACGTGAATGGGTCGCTTTAGTTAATATTTTACAGATTTATTTATGCGTCCACATTTCTCTGACAATGTCTCCAACAACAACATAGAGAATGCTGTAGAAAAGAGTAATTATGTACTGTAATGGAAGTGCTGAAACTGTTGTTTAACATCTCAAAATGTTACTGATACTTTGAATATAATGTTTTTATCAAAACTATTCAGAAAGAATATTTCTGTGTACCATTAAATGCCTTTATAAGGCAGTAGAGAGTTTTGAGTGAGATGCCACTGTGTCCTTTTGCCAGCACGTTGATTCTGAGTGCAAGGAGCATCCGTGCTTTCTGAGTATCTAGCGGTGTCCCAACTCCTGCTGCATGGGACCTGATGAGGTTATACTGCAGTTCTCTGCGCAAAATAACAGATAATGTAACGACGCGCAGAATCAAAGATGTTAATGTAGTGCAATCTCTTTAACAGTTGCTATGTGCAGTTGTTTTAGTATCGCTAAGTTACGAGGGAGTTACAAGATTTGAAACTTTAATGGTGATTGGTTTTTGTGTGTCAGTACGGAACAAGTTTTCAATATTTCAGAGACATACATGTTCCAAAAGTTTGAAACTCATTCATTACCGACACAACCGATCAGCCAAGACGACTTAATTTTTTTTAAGGTAGTTTATATCGTGATGTCGTATACATACTCAAGTTTATCGGAGTCTATGACGATTCTGGCAAATTTTCCAAATCCTGTTGTTATTCCATAAACAACTGCGGAAGAAAAACATTTACCCTTATGAATCTACTATGACAGATTTTTCGAGTTGAATGTATAAAAATATACATAGAGTTCATAACGTGTATGAATGATAACTTACCCTTTTTCTCTTCCAGAATTTTCTCAACAAGATCTCTTGCCTTATTCACTTTTACCTCAGCTTCATGTGTCAACTGAAAGATATAATCCCAGAATTCTTAAGCTTTATACGTGTAAGCTAATCCACGGCAGATCTCTTTGCATGTTAAAGCGAAGAGTTCCAGCAACTGCTATTAGTATGAGGTGAGCACGTTCATTTAATTACGTATCAATAATTTTTTTGGTTTCAGGAATTTATTTAATATTTTATATATTTAATTTATTTCAAAAATTTTAAAGGAACACACTAATGAATTCTGATACAGCAGCTGACATTAGGGTTAATTGGGACATAAGATGCATTCATGTTCGTGACTTCGGGACTTTGTTTCTTCTGTTACCTTAATTTTGTAGCGGCCTTTACCGAGCTGTCTGAGGTCATTTGTCGATAAACTGTTACCGTCCAAGAAAAGATGCTGAAAATAGAGTGTGATAGTTGAAATACAGATACGATATGGATGTAAAATAGTTTTAAGGATTAAATATGGTATATTAATTATTTTATTATGCCTACGTATGCATTATTTGAGGTTAGGACGTGTGAGTGAAATCCATTTTCATTGGTGGATAGGAGATTAGTTAAGAATGGTTGCAATTATGTTAAAATAGACAGAATTTTATGAAGATCTAACTCATATATTTCATCCTTTTACCTGCGTTATTCAGTTATCTGGCCATAGTCAAATTATTATTAATAATATTATTATTATTATTAGTTGTATGAAGCTAACTGTCACAATTATGAACTATATTACTATGCATTCTTAAAGGAAATTATAATTGCGTAATTTAGCAATTTAAATAAAATTACGTACCTCGGGTATTAAATGGGGTTATTACAAATAGAATGAAAAAAAAAGTGAGAGTATTTGTGGACAATTTGTAGATAAATTTTTACATTTCTAAACTGAAATTTTACACTGTAGATATAAAATAATGGGAAAGAAACATTATCATTTTATCAATCTGTCACCTGTTCTCAGACCAATAAGATAAAAGTATTTTCTTTCCATAATTCGAGGCTTACCTCATCTGGTGCCTCATATTTTACAGGACTGTGCTCTTATTCAGGAAATTTTATTTTCACATTTAAATATTTTATATGTATATATATATTGTCAATTTTTCTGGATAAAGGAGAGAGAGAAGAAACATTTTATATAATAAATGAGAGGAATGTTATCGATAATGTCTTCTAGTTTAGTGGTATTCAACCTGGGGTACGCGAAGACATCTTAGGGGGTACGTGAAATTTAAATATATGTATATTATTTTTATGATAAACACTGAATAATCAGGGCCAGATTTAGGGTTAGCCACAGGAGAACCGGACGTAAGGACATTCGATTTGGGAGATAATATACTATGTATTACTTGAATTATACACCAACAACTTTGGGGGTATAAAGTTGAAGAGAAATTATATCTGGGGGTACGAGAACAAAAAAGGTTGAATACCACTGTTCTAGGTAACAAGCCATGTCAGTTGTCGACAAAAGCCCAATGTCTGAGTGTCTGGAAAATAGGTGTTTTGATTAAATTCTTTTGTTTTTCATTTATTTACATGTCAGAACTGTTCCCATAATGAATTAGTTTCCATTAATTTTTAATGTTCATAGTAAAAAGGTTTGTCGTACGTATTTTTTCTGCAAACGCACTAGACTATGAGAATACTGTTGGAAATTGTGAAAAAAATTCACTGTTAATGTGAAATGTTCACACCTCGTAGCATGTACGTTGACAAACAGATCCTTTATGGAGTTAAAATTATACTCAACAGCGTATAAATCCATTCTTAGATTATTTTTTGTTGGCTGACAAGGATTTTTTAAAATTAAATGGAAATTGACTTTTGTAAATTATTCAAGTAATTGAATGAAAAATGTTTGGACTATATGCTATTATTACAGAACGCCCAGCCTAATCGTCTTGAATTCTCTCTCAAACATTAAAGCTATTATTATGTAAGGATACACTGGTTCAAGAATGTGTTTCAGATAATCTGGTATTATCGTTGACGCAGAACGTTCAGATGCAACCACTGGAAAAAAAAAGAAATAAATAAAAGAAGTGACTATATGTAAATGAACTGAACAAACATTACCTTCTCAAAATGTTCACACACAAATGAAATTGTGACAACGTACGGAAAAAATGGCGCCCCGAGAAAACAAACTTATCATCCCCACAGACGTTTTTGCTACATTAACAATTTGTATGACATGATCACCATTGTGACAACGTACGGAAAAAATGGTGCCCCAAGAAAACAAACTTATCACCCACACAGACATTAACAATTTGTATGACATGATCACAAAACGCCCCAAAGGTAAACGTAAAACTGTCCCACTATACGCCATGTAGGCGCTTGGGGGGAGGGGGAGATACAACAAAGGTTACGAAATCAAAATTGCGAGAAATGTAATACAAATTCCAGAACCAGAACAATTGTTAACATCCCCAAAATTGGCTAACGTGAGAACTTGGAATATCATATAGTCGACAGACGACAAGCGTAAGCCTCAACTACAGGGTGGGTGGGAAGTACGTAGACATTAAATAATCGCTTTGCATTGGAAATACAGAGGTTATAACCATTTCTCAATGCAGATTCGAAACCAAATTGGGAACAGGGGGGTTATTTGTTTTTACGAACGTAGCAAAAGGTGTCGACTTCATTACTGACTACTGTTTCATGGTATCCCCCAGTCGTTCAAGGCGAATCCGGAATAGTAATTTAAACAAGCCATGACCCCCCCTATTCACAATTCATCGTTCGTGAGTATCCTCTCTACTTATTCCACGTCAAGCAGCTGTCAGATTGATACGTCGTCGATAAACCCACGAACGGAGCATCGAATCGAGAACTTCCCTAAATGGTAACGACGACCCTGAAATCAGTATAACATAAGAACAAGAAATTGTCCTTGAACTCGACTTAGCTCTTAGTAAAGGGAAAATTATTTCAGTGATTTCACCTTTAACATTAATTTAAATATTTATTCAAAACAATTTACATATGGTATCCAGTTTTATAACCAAGGATGGTAGAATTTATTTTTATGAAACAGAAATAATTTTATAAACCTGAAGGATGTAAGAACCAGAATTTTTTGTGTTAGAAAAATACAGGGATTATAAACTTGACTGAAGTGACGTGTTCATTAAATTTTTTATTTACTCTCACAATATGGAAGTTTTTTTTTCGAGTCCCAAGGTCAAACAACATGACAGGATTTTTTTTTTCTGTTTTTGAAGAGAAGTGTAAGGTTATTGCTTTAAATAAAAATATCCTTTCGTAATTCCCCTCAGTTTATAATTATTATCGCTGTAATACGATTAATAAAATTGAAAATAAAATTAAATTCAATTCAAATGCTTGGATATTTAATATATCGACTATAAATCTACAGAAAATTTACAGTCGACGGAATGTCCATCGATAAGTCGATCAGTAATTCTTACGTATAAAATATTAGTTCTTGTGAGATTTGAGATTTTCACCGCGGTGTATATTTCTCGGTAGATGCCAGCTTTTCGGAGTAACATGCTGTCTCCGTTTTTAACCCTGGCACCAAAACACAGAACGTCATAATTACATTAATTCTGAAATGAAGTCTTCTCGAGCGATCAGCCATGTTTTAATAGCGTTGCAATCCAAAATTTCGGAGACTCCATTACCAAACCTGAATAATACTTAATTTAATTCAGTCGCTGTGGAAGCTTAATTTTTATATTCGGTTATGTTTCTTTTTTAAGTTCAAAGTGAAAGATTAAATTGATAAATCGGAAGCTTTTGACGGATTTACAATGAACCGTAAGCTCATATTTTAAGTATGCTTTGAAAATTGTTGTTTCTTATTCCTACTTAAGAGAGTTCTTTCGTCAATTTTGTGAATGGACCTGAATGCAATCTGTTGTTCTGTGTGAGCCCAGATCTGGGAACAAATTACTCATATGCACACGCTTACGTAATTCACGGGTTGTAACACCAGATATAGATATATTTACACGTAGTAATAAAACAAATATGTGAATTTAATCTTCAGTATCAGTAGAAAGTTTCTGTTCAGAATCACCCATAATGGTGTACACGTAATTTTTTTTGTTCATTCGATTGTTTTATCATATTTCCCAGTTTACTGTGCAAATACATTATTATTTTAATAGTTCCGCTTACCCACTGTCACGAAATCATTATCATCAAGGACATCTCTGATGCTGTCATCAGGGTCCAAGATCACCCCACCACGTGTCTTCCTTACTTCCTGCACCATCTCCCTTTCGCCACTCTCTGAGCCGCCATCTTGTGTCTGCAGCTTCTTGTATCTTCTTGTAGCCTCCTCCCCAAGCCATCTCACAGTCATTTCTCCTGTGACGAATTGTCCCAGAACAAACTTTATTAGGCACCCTGTTCAAGTGATTCAGTCTTCAGCATTTTATTTCAGACTATGATTCAAGTGATTCAGTCTTGAGCATTTTATTTCAGACTATGGAAGTAAAATTGGCTGAAAAACATTTTAAATATATTATTAAGCCCGACAAGAAAAATATGTTGGTGATATAAATGTGGGAGCCGAGGTTCGATCCCCGACAGGGGTAGAAGGTTCTTTACTCTAGCCTCTGCCTCCAGATCAGCTCTGGGGTCCACCCAGCCACCTGTCCAGTGGGTACCGGGATCCTTTCCCGGGGGTAATCTGGCAGAAGTTTAAAGACTTCTCAGAGGCCCTTGCTGCCTCCATCATCGCAACAACTTAGAAGACAGTCATCTTCAGAATCTCCGCCTTGAAAACCTCAAATCCTTCTTGGTTTTTGCTAGTGAGTCCATGGAACAAGATACTTCTTAAAATGCTTATCACTCAGCTATTCAATAATTTTCTGCCTTGAAGGTTTATTATCCTGTTTATATGAAGAACCCACAACAGGTCTCTGTCTTGAACCAGATTATTCCATCATTTTTCCCCTAGGATCGATTTTAATATTATCCTCCGAAAACGTCGAGATCTTCCGAGTAGTCTGTTTCTTTCAGACGTTTCCCCAAAAATTTGTACGGGATTTTTTTTCTGTATTATTCGCTCTACTAGGAACAAAATATATTTATCGTTTTTTAAAATAAAATTATAGTTCCTGTTATCAAGTATGAAATTTTTTCCACGAATTCGAATAGTGATAGCTCGTGTTGACACTGAACGAAATAAAAGGGGGAAAAATTTCTGTATTGTGGTATTTTTAATGTGATTAGGTTTGCAATAAAGGATGCGTATCTATAATAATTGATGTTTAACTGAAATAAATGCAAGAACAATTTAGTGAGGCATACAATTGTATTTATTTCGTTTGTTAAATGACTGCTATCAGTAGTTCATACCCTACAGCGTCGAATTAGGTATGCAACATTGCAAAAAAAAGTGATAGTGGAACCACGGTTCCGGAGAATTTGACGTAAATACGCCTATACGGAAAGGAAGTTTATATATTGGCTTTATTCTAAATATTTCCTTTATAAATGCTTCACAATTGAGATAATTTTGAGTAAGACTTTGCTTATTTAACTTGAATTAGTTACGCTTAAGATGGGTCTGTGGTAGCTGAATGTAATGTAATGTAATGTTTTATAGGTAACAACAATGCCGAGTAAACACGACGTTCCCTAGGTAACCAGGTTACACTTTTTCGCCGAATGACCCCTCCTTATAGACGTATTTACGTCAAAAGAAATACTGTCAGAGTGGGGGACTTGTACTTGTAATATCGTTCTGGAATCATCTGACTCGTGATAGTGGCCAGAGGGTGGCTTTTGTGAACAGGAGAACTTACCATTCTTACATGGCACTTGGAGCCATTCCCCACGAACACGAACTGAAATTTTCATCTTGGAGATCAACAGCAGCTTCTTGGGAAAGTTGTGTATCCTGGCCTTGTTTTTATGCCAACTGAAGATATTTTTCTCCCAACCAGTGGGATAGGCTTCTGTTCTTGCCTAACCAGTCAACATTTAAAATAATTTATTTTATATTCTTCGTGTTGTCGTAGGCGTTATGTATTTCGAACGTAATGCGTTGTCGTCAGATAAACAAATACCAGGGACACATCGAAATCTTGGATTTCGCCATACATTAGTTAGCACGTTTCTTGTAATGGTTGTGTGGCGGTAACGTTTTTATTTATTTATTTAGTGTTCTGTCTGACGACAGGTCCATATGAACAGGATCCTTCCATCCTTTTCTCGGACTAGGACCTGTTCATATACGTTCTTGGCAGATGATCCAGAAGTGGTTTGCCATTGCCTTCTTCTGTGTGTGAATGGAGTAATTGTTGGGATGCCACGGAGGAAAATTCCGTGTTGCCTAGACCACGGCCTTGCCCAACACAAGTTATAAATTCGGGCACCGCCGGGAATCGAACCCGAGACCCCCAGGATTACAAGGCCAGCGTTCTAACCGCTAGACCACCGTGTCACATGGCGGTAACGTTATAGAATTTTTTTTTTGGGGCGGGGGGACTACCTCGTCCTTCAAAATTCTCATCCACTTTTTTATTATATGTAAAATAACCTATTCCTCTGCAACTGAATGAAAAACTCGTAAAATAACTCGAGAGTTAATGAAACATTGATCATAATACTTCAGGTATTTTTGTGGTTTCTTTCAGTTTTCTTGTTGGGAACGACTTTAGGGTCTGGAAATAACTCATTTTTGAAAAAAAAGCTACGAAATTACGTAGACGGCGTCTATACTCGTCTGCCCCCCACCCCCCCCC